TGATCACTTTGGTATATATAACCCTATATCTGACTCTTTTAGTTGTAGGACTTACAAACAACCGTTATGTGAACAAAACTATAATACTCTCTTTAGCAACCTTGTTGCGATAGTATAAGAAATGGTGCTGAAAAATATTAGCATTATTTAGTATTTCAACTACAGTCCCACCATCACTGTCGGCCGACTTAATTTAACCCGTTAACCTTTAGTATAAACAGACATATGCTACCGATTATTGCTGACAACAACAATTACATACTTAACAAACGCAATCATTTGAGGTGTATAATCCGCGAGCGTTTATATGGCGAGCTTCACTTGTGATTCGCGTGTGAAATATGGGTAAGCGTTTAAAATACAGCTTAGCAGCATTCAAATGATTATTTATAGTCGGTGCTAATTGCTGCGAGCTGCAGTAGCATCGATCAACAAGGCCTGATATATGCATGCTACACGCTGCACCGCACTTGTGCGTGTGAGTGTGAGCGCTTATAAAGATATCTCAAAGTTTATGAGCAGTTATGAGTTTTAAGCGCCCATTGCAACAATGAAGTGGCCACAGCCGAGTCACGCCGTTCGCACGGATTTCGGCAGAATGCGGCAAGCAGCGTTGTCTAAGTCGTTAAAATGGTCTTACTTGACTGTAGTACACTCGTTGGCGGCGGTCGCGCATTTGGCCAAGTGCAATGTGATACTGCAAAGCAACGCGCTTGCCAAATGCAGTCGTCGTCGGTCAGTCAATCACGTTTTTGGCTAGTTGGCTGATTATTCGTCGAGCTAGCGCTTGCTTTTTGGCCATAACTCGAGGCAAATTAATGAGCCTTATGTTCGAAACGTGGCGCAAATATTAAATGGGAAATATGCAGAAAACGGAAAAATAAGTGAAAACCATAAACAGTTTGAGTACACATAAAATATTTATGAATTGATGAATATATGTGTGCTTGCGCGCATCTGTAGTGGTTTATTGACACACACATGCATACACTCGCATGTGTGTGGCCAAATAGTGAATAGGCATTTGCGGGTGAATTGTGTGCGAAATTTATTTGATATGGCTGTGTGTCAAGAGTTCACAAATCTATTCGATTTGATAATTCAATTAAACGCAATATGGCTTCCGTGACTCCACGCATACGCACAAATGTGCACAAACATATATGTATGTAGGCATGCGGGCTCATATTTATTATTTCTATTTATGTTATCGGAATAGTTTGGTTTTTTTTACAGCAAATGAAGTGGTTTTTATTGCTTTTATCTTTAATTTGCAAAATATCTTCCAAAGTTTTTAACTTCTCATCTTTTTTTTTTGCAGAAATCGCGCGAGTACGTGCTTCACTATTTCAAATAAATGGCGTCAAGAAGGAACCACTCACGTTGCCAGAGCCCGAGGGCACCCCTGTACAGTTAAATGAGAAAGTATATGTGCCAGTTCGAGAACATCCAGATGTAAGTCGCTTCAATACATACTGTACACAACTGTATATGTACTTAAACAAATTATTATGAATTTAAACTTTGAGGTTACCATATTTAGCTCTTCCATCGACGATTTTACATTTTCCACTTCAACACAGTGTTTTTTTGCATAACCACCACGGATATTGAGCTTTTTTGCTGGGGTTGAGCTCAGCTAAAGGTAACATTTCTTCTTGTTTTTTTCATGAGTGGTTGTTGTTRAAGCGAATGAAAACATTCCTCAAATAAGTTCGAGGTGCGGAGTTGACCATACCTGGGTGGATAAAAATCCGGTTCCTTTCAGGTATTTTAGACCAGACTTTCGGGGTAATGGAAGTAGTGTCGTCGTCAACTTCGCTACTACGAAGTGGTAAACTTCGCTTGTTGTTGGTAACGGTTATATATTCCCCATTAGGATGGTAAGGATTATCTAGTTTTTCGTCGACGTCATCTAAAGGGAGGCTCAAGAAACAAGCTGTTTCGAAGGGGTCGGACCAAAGTTAAAAGGACATGATATGAGTGGAGTTGGAGAGGCATGCAAAGAGGTGGCCAGTATCAAGTGGAGACTCATTGCACGCAGGACGTATGTTGGATATGTGGGAGCTTCTTCCTTATTCATTCTTCATCCCTGAGTTTTAGTTCTCAGAAATTCCATAACAGAGTTTATAAGTAGAACTCACTTCGTTATATTCTAATCTCTCTATACAAAGCAATAAATTGCTAACTTTAACGAAATTCAAAAATATGCTTTTTGTATTACCGTCAGCTTACGCGTCTCCCATTTCAGAGAGTTATGGTGCTCAGTTCTCAAATATAGATCTCAAATTGAATTGCTCGACTCTTGTGGTAAAACAACTTGTATGCTCGCATATGTTGTACTCTCTTCGAAATAAAACCTAACCTCAACCAACTAGAACTGTTGGCAAAACCGACAGATGTAGTTTCTCAACCGCACAGGTAATAACTGTAAAATCGCTTGTAGATAAAATTAAAGCAGACTAAGTAATAGAATGATTAATTACTAATTAACGCAATTGTTGTGGAGTTAAAGCGCAAAGCGAGTAGACGTAGCATGCAACAACAACAAAAACACATATCATCTATTTAAAGCGTTAACTACACATTTTTCTAACAAAACGTATACCCACACACACATGACAACAAATGCAAATACCGCGTACAATCTGAATAAGTAGTGAAGCATAAAATCTGAACATTTGTTTTATGAAATGAAACCTGGCAGCTTTAGCATCGGAATCGTTTCCGCTAATTAAAAAGAAGCACCGAGAGAACTATTCACATTTATAGCTAGATAATTGCTTATGTTGTTGTTGTTAATCTGCCACTAGCGATATACATGGATAGACAGACAGACAGACAACTAGCAGCAATGTTCTGCATCATTCGCTCGCGCACACAAACACACACACACACAGATTTTCAATGCTCGTGTAAGCAGCTCTGTTTATTGGCTGGCGCTTGCGTTGTTGTTGCGCCGCCATACGGAGCGCTAGCTGGCTTTCTGCTCGCTGGTCCGTGTGTATTTCTTGCGTTAGTGCGTCGAATGAATTTCTAGTGCACCGGAAATCTATTAGAGGTGCGCCTCGGGCCTGTCAGCCACCCTCTCGCTCTTCCACCGACTCACTCAACTCTGCTGTGTCATGTAGTCGCGTGTGTGTGTGTGTGTGTGTGTGCCGTGCTTATGACGTCTTCTACACGTCGGTGGTGGCGCTGCTGTCGAGTGCCTCTAAGGCACGGCGCCCCATTTCATCAACGTTGGCAGTTATGCAATGCCGCGAGTTGATGGCTGTCTCTTGTAAGTTCTTCAGCAGGGAGTTGGAGCAGCATTGTGGGGTTAGCCGTAAGGCATGCGGGCGTGTAAACATGCCGAATCGAGATTATAGAATTCCGTTTCGCCGTGCTTCCAACACATTCGTCTGTGTTAGCGTTTTATGGCATTCCACTTCCTCCACAGCTATTTTTGCTGTCCAGTCGGAGTTTGAGGGAGGAGGGTAGACAAAAGTGTCGGGCAAACTCATAAATTTCAATTTGGAAAATATTCGGATTAACATCTGTTTTGCATAATTTTTGTTATTTCCAAAAATATACTTATTTAAATTTCCAATGTGATAATTAACCTTGTTGTGGTGTTGGGAGGTCGCTGCGGCAGCCGCGGTGCTCGTTGCTGCGTGTAAATACTCCACACTCTGTAGCGTTTTAGGCATTCAAATATGCTCAAATATTTGCTTCTGCGGCTTAATATGTAAGTATATACATATACTCTGCCGAGAATGACCAATATGTTCGTTGTAGCTGCTTGATTTTCGGAGGCGTTAACAGCCCCTCGACCGTTTAATAAGATAAAATGCGTAAAAACAAACATAAATATATTTCTAACTTTTGTCTGCCTTCTAACCTTTTCAACTAAACAGCTGTATTGGTAAACATTTCACAAGCCTTTAAGGTGATTTCATGCTTCAAATTATCTAAAGTTGTTATATCTTCTCACCAGACACTTCTCATTCTTTTTTGTCAATATGAAAATCGCATTGAGCGACTCTTAAGTAACATTATACTCTTTAGAAAAAAACTAAGGGCTAAGTTCGGGTGTCACCGAACATTTTATACTCTCGCATGACAAAGTGATAATCGAGATTTCAAGCGTGGTTGTGAACCGATTTCACCCATATTTGGTACATGTCATCACGGTGTTAAGAAAATATTATATACCGAGTTTTATTGAAATCGGTTGAGTACTTCCTGAGATATGGTTTTTGGTCCATAAGTGGGCGACGCCACGCCCACTTTCAATTTTTAAAAMAAGCCTGGATGCAGCTTCCTTCTGACATTACTTCCGTAAAATTTAGTGTTTTTGACGTTTYTCGTTAGTCGGTTAACATACTTTTAGTGATTTTCAACATAACCTTTGTATGGGAGGTGGGCGTGGTTATTATCCGATTTCTTTCATTTTTGAACTGTATATGGAAATGCCTAAAAGAAACGATTCTATACAGTTCGGTTGACATAGCTATAGTAGTTTTCGATATACATATGTACGAAAAAGTTAGTAAGGGGCACTTTTCCAAAAAAATTACCTGCAAATATGCCCCTCCCTAATGCGATCCTTTGTGCCAAATTTAATTTTAATATCTTTATTTATGGCTTAGTTATGACACTTTATAGGTTTCCGGTTTCCGCCATTTTGTGCGCGTGGCAGTGGGCCGATTTTGCCCATCTTCGAACTTAACCTTCTTATGGAGCCAAGAAATTCGTGTACCAAGTTTCATCATGATATCTCAATTTACAGCTTGCACGGACGGACAGACAGACATCCGGATTTCAACTCTACTCGTCACCCTGATCACTTTGGTATATATACCCCTATATCTGACTCTTTTAGTTTTAGGACTTACAAACAACCGTTATGTGAACAAAACTATAATACTCTCTGTAGCAACTTTGTTGCGAGAGTATAAAAATATTGAAATAATAAAAAGTGAAGGATGAAAAATCGATTTGGAAAACACCTTGCAAGATGTTGGGACTGCTTATAATGAAGTAAGTCAAACAATAGTAGCCGAATCCGTTAACCTTATTATTCAGGGCGCTGATGACGATTTCTACGTCAAAAGTTTCTTCCTCGCTATCCGGCGTGAGATCCCCATTCGCTAATAAATTGCTTGCCTAATGGCAATGCAGCACTCTAGGAAAGTCTGGCAGTACCTGAAACTTAACTTGATATTTAAAAGAGTGGTCCTTCAAGATTTATTTTGTCGCCTTAAAAGTAATCCACACCAGATGTAATAAACTTCTCTCAACGACTTGTCCTCTCCTCGAAACACTTTTCACACACAGCACTTCTTGGGATGGCCTTCAGTGCCTTCAGCGAATTTTGTCTTATCCCTTCGATCGACTGAAAACGGGTTCCATTCCGATGATTGTTGATTTCTTTACATGTTAAACTCTTAAAACCATATCTATCGGCAGTTATAATGTTCTCCATACATTGGGGATCGGAATTAGCACGATCAGACATGTCCGAAGAGACTATTTACGGTGTTCCTTTAAAAAATAAAGGGCTTTATCTTTCGAACGGATTCGCAAGAGATGTCGAGCTCTAATGGCAACTCTCTAACACTTGCCTGAAAATTTGGAAACACCATAGTGCACACTTTATGCTTATATTTATTTCTTTTCCAGCTTAGTCTCTGTGTGTGCATAAACAAGTATATTTTAAGTACGTTTTTTCTGTTTTCCTTCGATTTCTTATTATATCCATCATTTGATAGTCGAAAATTTTATATGTTGTAATAAAAACTAATTAGGCAAGCATCTAGCTATGAATTGCGTTTAACTATTGCCAAAGGCGCATAACTGCATTGGCTGCAGAGACTGATCTAGATCGCTTTCAAGCTGATTTGTTGCCAAAACGTTCAAACACATAAATATTTAGCGATATCCAAAGTTTTTAAACGTGATTTATTCGTATGGAGCTAAATATCAGCATTTGCAATTTAAATGAGGCACAAATCTTCGAGTCGCTAACATGCATACACGTCTATAGATCATGCTGTCCCTGAACACATTTTGCATGCATACTCCAACACACACGCGTGCATCAATAGTAAGCGATCTATGCTGCTATCGCGGCTGCGCTTGTGGGAGGGATCATATGATCATTACTTCATTAGATATGAGTAATTGTGTCAGCATCATCATCAATCGATTAAGCGCTATGTGAGACGAGCACAGGGCGTCGGGTGGCACAGCTGCCACCTACAAATCCAAACAAACACAAATCAAGAAACACCTGCTGCGCTTGTTCTTCTTTGTTTCGGTGATTTGTCATTCTATGGCTTTTTGTGTTTTGCTGATCACTGATCATTTGAAATTGTTTTGATGTTTTTGTTTTTATTTTTATTTTTAGTGCGGCTAATCTGCATTTGCTGCATTAATCACCCCTTTTTGACAGCTCACACTTTTATTTCTTT